AATTCTGGAATCCACCCGGAGGAGGGTTTATCGTGTACAAAACCCGGAGGAGCTGTCTCGGATGGCTGTTGCCGCTGGTTGATCTCCAGCCTGTTTGTTCTCCCACCTCGGTAGCAAGTCCCACATTGGGAGCGGACTTGCGTGTCCTCGCTATCCAGTGTGGCTGCAACTCTCTGTACCGCCTCAGGGGCAAGCCCCAGCATTGGGAGCTGACTAGCGTGTCCTCGCTATCCGGTGTGGCTCAAACTCCCCCTGTGTCAGGGAGACAGTGTCTTATAAGAGAGTGTCTAGTGCACGTTCTCCTGTAGCCTGTATGGCGCGCGCGAGCAAGCGGGTGCATCTTTTTCCGCTCCAGAGGTTAAGGTCAGCTCGCGTGGACAGTCATCGCCTGTATGCGGTCAGAGCTAACAAACAAAGACAGTTGACTAGGCTCGACGCTTTAGGAAAGCCTCCAAACGTTGCTAACGTTTAGTCTGGCTAATATCCTAACAAAACTATTCAGAAAATTCAACCAGTCGATCAAATGTTTTGGCGCCTAGATATAATTTCATCCCCAGAATGGGAAAGGGGGCAGGACGATTAGTGAAGACAGCCATCCCTGAGAGTCTTCTTGTGTATCCTTTTGCAGAACCTCGTTGGCCGTGCGTCTAGTAGCAAGCCGGAGCAAGTTGGTGGATCGCTTGGTCCTGATCAGCGGCGGAGCACCCATTCCGCTGCAACCAGAACCAGGTCTTCTGTCGCTGCCTTCAGCGTGTCTCGCCCTCTGCATGCCCTGCATTCGGTGGGAATTTTTAAGGTATTTGCCTGCGTTGTTGTGCACTCCCGCAGTAATTTTTTGCTTTTAAATTGCCCTTCAATACGACTTTAATTCCTCCTTGTTGGTCATGCAACACGACAGCGCTGTGCCTTTAGTCCAACGTCATTTGCATTTAACGTTTAGGAAAAACTGAGTTTTTAGGTTTGCTTTTTCTCCAGCTTTTTTGTTTGGCCTGTATTTATTGGTTTTTATTTATTTATTTCCCAAACAATTGTGTTAGATAGTCAAGTTTGGCGTATACTTTGCAGGCAGGTGCGTCGTCTTCAAAACGTATCCTTTAACAGAGGTCCACCTTTAGTTTCAAACGTTTTAGCTAATTTCTGTGGATACATGCATAAAAACTATGCTGTCGCGCCTTGAGCTAATTAAATAAGCACTTTCCTCCAAAGAAATTCATTTTATTCTCACCTATTGATAAAAGGTTCATGTTACTGTCCAAAAATTCAGAAGATCTGTACTTTGTACATAACCGTCTTTGTCATAAATAATCTAGTGTAATTCTACTTCAACTCATTATTACCATAGGCTAGGCCCGACTATTTGTGACTAAACATTAATATATAATTAGGTTCAGCAACAAAATTGCCCACCATAATTAGCTTGGCTTAAGTCATTTTCTAAAAAGAGTTTGATTGGCTTTAGAATACAATTCGATTTGTAGTCGATTGTAGTGTAAAACTCAATCATAACTTAGATGAAGATGGGCGTACCAAATTCATCCGTATAACTGGTTAAACAACCGGAAAAGTGCCATTTATGACCAGCTGGTACTAAAGTACTTATGAATATAATTAATAAGAATCACTCTATGCGGCCCGTCTCCTCCACCGTCCACCCGTGGCTCGTGACGTGTATCATTAAAGATCATTCATCTTCCTCACCGCTGCCACTCTTCTGAACCCATTCCAATGTTTTTCGGATCCGCTGACCTGCGGCAACTCCACTGATTTTAACTCGGACACCCATGCATCCATGCAGTCACGCCTGTTCACGTGTAACGTATCTAATGCAAAACCTATCACTTGGATTCGGGTAGTCGTGGCCTAAAGAAGATTGTAATGGTCGTTGTTGACTCATAAGCCTTCATCAGTCAGATTTTCAAACGATCCCTGGTATTCGAAACCGCGATCCCCTCCCCCATCCCAATACTGCTTAATCTCCTGTCGGTTGTGATCCGGTATATTAAGATGGCATAGGGGGGGGGGGCGAATATGAATCGTGTTATATAATATATCCGTCCACTTGTACCCTGGGGTGGCCACTCAAGCCCGTCTGGCAGCCCACAGTAGCATATGCGAAAGGGGCCATTGTGAACCCTGGCGTTTGGCATGACCGGCTGATGACGGCTTATAAACCAAAAAATTGTCGTTCCAGTCATCTTTGAACAAGGCAAAGACCACGAGATGAGCGGGATTTAGTTTCCCGCATCTTAACCTAATAGCTCCTACTCTGCCGAGAGAATTTAATATACGAGTTCCAGGGAACAGTTCAGAAGAAGATACGATTACGGGAACAAGAATTTTATTTTCCTGACGTTTCGGATTCTGTCGAGAATCCTTAATCATAGGCAACCGTAAGATAATGTAAGAAATTCGCAAATTACAGCCTTCATTTTTATGCCTACTTCGAAGCATGTTTGATTTAGTAGGACAAGTGAAATCCATAAAACAAAAAGGCATGACTAGCTCAATTATTTGCTTATTTTCTCGCGGGGGTGGTTGAATGAAGATGGTGGAAAAACTTTCAGTCGAAATTCAGCGTGCTGCCGCGGAAGGGACCGTACATTTTCAAATTGCTATCATTGGTTCTTAAGAGTCTGTGTTTAGCTTAAAAACTAGCCTGCGGTTAACTATGATTAAGGGTTCTTGACAGAATCAAAAACGTCAAGAAAATAAAATTCTTGTTCTAGTGATCGCATCTTCATCTTCTGAGGTCCTACTCTATGTACCTATCAGTTTTCAGTCTTCTAGGTCGATGTTTAATTGACAGTTTATTTTATTTTATAAATAGTCAATGACCGTTTGCAGTTGAATAAGTGATAAGGAAATTGCATGATGTCCTGCTAGTCTCATGGTTTTTCCCTTGTTAAAATTTCTTCCTGGAAAAATCGCTCCGGTCATCTTTTTCTGTTTACGACACTGGTCTCTGAGTGGCTGCTGGAGGGACGCGAATAGGACGTGTATTACTCCATGCAATCTTAGTCCTGGAACTGGCCAAGAACTTCTTGGTAATAAAAATAATCGTGGCCTTAGTGTCATCGTATTCGTCAAAGTCATTACCCTACCACAATCAAAAAGCTCAGCAAAGTTTCAGCAAGTAATACAAGCTTCATGGGCGGTCTAAAGTTATTTTTTGCATTTAAAGTTGTACGAAAATTCAAATAAATACTTTTTGATTGAGACAGTGTATTGCTAAATCACGAAGGTAAAATAAACTCCATCAGAGTCCAAATGACCGGTGTACAATGAAGGCACTCTTCGGTGGGTAATCGTCCACCAACGATAAAGGATATTTCATTCCTCGTTTAAGAATTCCAAAATAATTAGTGTTTCAGGAACTGTGCTTCTAGAATGGATAAATATTGTGAGAAGGTTTCGTCATTTTTAATATCTCACCTATCCATATTTGTGAATTAAATTAATATAAAACAATTAAGATGAACAAGATTCTACAGTTGGCGCCTTACGATTTGCCTGCATAATTTTTGAAGGCGTGTCACGTAGTACCATTTACGAGGCCATATGAGTGTGAATGTCTGCTTGTGGGCCAGGTGTTTGGCCAAACCTTACTAGCGTACGGGGTGTGAAAAGCACACGCCTTCACATCACAAATCCGGATCATAAAGTGGTGAGGAAACCCTTTATTGTGACACTGCACCATCCTCAAGGGCCTAATTGTCTGTCCACGGTACTCGTCGCTGATTGGTTGCTGGTGGGAAACGAATGTGAGCCACAAGGCACCACTATACTCGTATATGAATAATTACAAACGTAATCGGAATAAATATGTAATACGAAATCCAAAATCTCTTACATATTGAGCAGTCTACAATAATTGAAGAGCATTTGGAAAACTGATATATACTTACAGCGATCGGGACGAGTGCCCTTGCAAAATAACTGTGTCAAATCGCTCCCAACGACTGTATGGATCCTGATTGCTTTAATTTTGTATGAGAGGTACGATCGTTAAACCAGTAGGATTTCACAAACCTTTAAAACCCTGAAGCAAGTTAACAGATAGGAAGCTACTGTTACTTCTAGTTAACCACCTGCCACAAGAATTATAGCTGCACTTACTCCATGACAGCCAACAAGAGCGCATTTTGCCTACTCTGCTATTTCCACTTAAGTGGAACATTTGCACACAGCATACCGCGCGGACTTTCTCCTGCAGTTCTGCAAGTATTTCCTTTCTCAAACCTGCCTTTCCTGAAATATTTTAGAAGAAGAAAAATAAGAGAGATGCTTAGTCTTATTGCTCTGAAGTGTACTCTGAACTGCCAACTTTTACGCAAAACTTATCAATACAAAATTGCACTGTCTGCTTCCTACCCCGTCAAGGTTAGCCTTTGCGAAGCCGAGGCCCATAGAGCACTATCCGGAAACCTCGACCGCAGGACCATTTACGGTTCCGGTAAGTGTGCTCGATGAGCCTAAACCAGCACTGTACAGCAGGCCAACGAAACTGGAGATGCAGTCCGCCTTCTGCCTGAATGCCTACACGCTGCGCGCCACAATGGCTGGTCAGATTTGGCCAGGCGGCAACAAGCATTTCTATGGAAGGGTGTCTGTTCCTGTACTTCTGATCTCTGGTGCAAACGATAAACTCGTCCCCTTGGCTGAGGAAGAGGAGGCGTTGCATGTGAGTCACAGAGTATTTTTGGGAAGCTACAGCAACCCCGAGGATTGCATTGATTTTGCATGGAAATTCTACCGAGATTAAATATTGTGTGGAGGAAATAGAGGATGTAAATACTTGTTTGATAAAGTATTATACAGTAATCTTTTGCGGTGTTAAGTGATCTTGTAACATATTCTAGAAGTTGATATTGGGTAGGAATTTAAAATTTTTTCATAGTGTTTTTTTTGTTGTTGCATTGCTTGCATTTTCATTCTGAAGTCCATGTGGTAGGAATAGATTTGATTTCGAGACGTAGTGTCGGCTGTTTAAACTGTCAAAGGAAGATGATGGGAAACTCAGATGATTTTAGTGATGGCAAAATTTGGGCATGCTGGTATATATTGGTCTGTTGTCTATGGCTTTGTGATAAGACTTGTATGACGTGAAGATGGACATAGAAATGCATAAAAATGTCAGTAAGGATGGCTTCTATGGCTTCTTCAACTGTACACGGAGGTAGAGAATCACCATAGGTTCTAGAGGTGCCCATGGGCATAATTGCAGTAAGAGTAAATAATCTTATGTGCTTACCTTTATACCAAGCCTCAGATAAGCCTAAACTGTAGCCATTATCTTAACCCTAACGCTACAGTAGCCTCGACCCTAAACACAATCGTAAGCTTAAAAACCAACTATAATAGTAAGCCTAATCTTAAACCTAAATCTAATTCGGAACTTGGCGCAAAGTCAGCTTGATTGGGACCAGCTTCTGCTCTCATGCTCTGTGCAGGGGCCATATAATTAATTCTTACCAGAATATCAACTCGAGTTTCTATCCAAGCATGCCCTGGTAATTCTGATTTCTGGTTTTTGGAAAACAAAACGGTGGAAATAATCTTAAAAACTCCCTTAGTGAATACACATAAAGTTCTTCTAGAGCCAGCAAGCATAAAGAACCCATCTTTTAGCAACAAAATTGGCTCTTAATAGATCCTTGGCAGGTTTACATCTGCGCTGAAAGCCGTGGCTTGCAAGGTTTCCTTTGACAGGATAACTCCAACCTCATGGTTGGTACCATGTTTATTGAACGAGTGGTTGACGAACAGAGAGGAAACGTCACTGAATGCCTCTTAATTTAGTCATTAGAGCCTTTTTACGTCCGTGAGATCTCTATTACATTCTTTAGAACTGTGTAACATTCTGCGAGAACCAGGTTTTGTTTTTTCCCGTGTAGCCGGCAGTGAGGGGTATATGGAGGGAAGCGTATATATATCGAGGAGAGTTATGACTAATAAGGTTGACCCTAACAGCTGCGATCTTCTAGGTCCGGTTACCTAGGAGAAGAGAGAAGTCATGGGAAGGCCAGATTGGTAGGAACAGAATATTCTCAACAGAGGGTTTGAAGAATAGGTAGTAGGTGTGACTTGGATTGGCGGGCGTCCGATCGTGAGCGCGGGGTCGTCAACGGCGCCGACAACGCTGCCTGCAGCCACTATCTGGCGGGGTGGACCTCGAAGTGATGTCTAG